AATTTGATTTACTAAATACGTAGGAAAATATAACTTCATCCAATTAGTCACTGAATAATTTTAAAACCGAAGGTTATTTCTACCTTACCGTTACTAATATTACACTGCTCTTCCCTCCGCTAAGCGTTGTCGGCAGTCATTGTCAATGATCATTAATAAATACAGTGGTCAAATCAAGAGGATTTTCTTCTGTTGTTTTCTTTGTTTTTAGAAAGAAGCAACAATCTAATGAGATCGAGATAATAATACGATAGGAAAACAAAACTATTAGTTCGACAGTAACATAGAAATCAACTCTCGTTTCGGAACACTAAACATTCCACAGATGTGCTCGAAGTGTCGTATGCTAACTCACTACATTCTTTCATATCATCACAACACTGACTAATACTAGTAAGGTATGTTGATGTGTTGTCGAATTAACAACTCAACTGAACGTTTAATGCTTCTTCCTATCTGCAGTAAATGCCATCTGGATGATAGTTAGTTATTCGTGTTCTTTGCGAATTCTTAACATCTGATATAGTTCTTTAGAAAGCATACTTATAAAGATAGAACTCCTATCGTATTATAAATGAATCCAAGCATCCAAACAAGTAGCCTAAATATCGAAAACCGATTTTCTTGAAGTCTGGGCATCAAGTTTTTCTTGAGAAACAGCTTCACACTACTATGTCAACTGATGAATCATAAGGTACAATTAAATTGGTAGCCCAAAACTATCAATCCGTATAATCTCATTTGAGTGATCTGGTTTCAAAATTGTCACTGATGCATGTATGTGTGTGACTTTCTTTCCTTTTGAATATCTGATCAATCTTACAGGCTATGATGTAATTCCATATATCTAGTCTTTACTATTATTATTATTATTACTACCCACTAATATATGTATTATTTTAAAAATATGCATAGAAACAATCAAACAAAATCTCATGAGTTACCGATTAGTAGTCATGGGAATATAAAAGTCATATTATAGAGAAAAAAAAAAGATTAAAAAAAATCAATAAAACTTTTAACAAAAAAGAAAAACTATAAAAAAAAGAAAGAAAATATATGATCACAGATATAAAAGTGAAATGAACTCGTTTATAAAAAAAAATATTCCTACTTATATATGAAATGAATAGTAGGCAATAGATGATCATTCTTATATAAGTTATAATGATCAAGTTTTTTTTCTTCCTTTCTTTTCATTCAATCCAATGGTGATGTAATATGTCCAAGAAATATTGGTAGAGAATTATTCCAAACAATTGAAATAAAGAATGGATGATCAATACGAAATTTTGGTACAGGTTTGTAAGATCTTACAGCTGTACATTTTACCATTGGTATTGCTGTAGCTGCAGCCGCCACTGCACCTTTTTCATCCACCTATATATAAATATATATTTTGTGAATAAAAGAATAAAGAAATAGAGACAAACAACAAAAGATACTATTTGTATACTGTCTCGAATAATTCGAAATACGGAAAATAATACCAGTAAGTTATTCGATTTATTTATTTAAACACATAAACATTGATACAAGGAGGCACCAAATAGATAAGCGGCACATAAATCATTTAATTTGTTTGAGAACTGAGATACTGCCGGGGTGCCCAGACTGAATCAGGTAGTTTTTCTTAGGTCACACCGGAGCCTTCGACCTAAAAGGTCTGATCCACAAGGCAGTGAAGCAATGTCAGGAGATCCAGTCCCATGGTTCATACGTCATTTGTTCCTTCAGGATACTAGAGCCCATGTGCAGCATTGGTTTGGAATCAAGGTTTCTCAACTCCCATAGATGGACTCTCCGTGTCCACCAGCCCAGTTCAAGTGCTGAACATTTGCTTTTCGTCCTCTCAATTTCGTAAACAACACCTCCGTCGCGAGAAAGCAGTGATGTGATGTAAAAACTACTGTTATATTCTTTTTATAACAAAATTACTGTAATTTAGGTCACCTTGTATTCCATTTCCATATTCGAATGCCGTTTTTGGGGTTATAATTGTATCTCACGTGCGTTGTGATCATGTTGGTCATTTATTTATGTATCTATTTTGAGTTAGTCAAATAAGGATTAAATATAGTAAGTTTCGGCTCAATCCTCTCTGTTTTCCAATCTATCAGATCATAGGCCAGTGATAAGATAGATTTCTTACTTCAAAGCCGTCTATTCATGAATCAGACCTATGAATTATAAATATCACGGTCGTACTAAATACTCTAAAACAGGTCGAGACAACCCTCTTCCCGTATGTTATGCAGAGACTAAATAATAGATAGATCAAAGAAATAGTGCCGTATATACACATTCAAGTCACTAATAAAAAGCCGATATAAGCAGAACATAAATGAAATAGGTGTTGTAGAAGCCTTTGTACTAACTACTTCTATGAATCCGGTGTTCATCTAGCTGTGCTAATGAGGTATGGCAACTTGGAATGATGCATATATGTACCTGGTGCTACGTTGTAGCTGACTGACTGACTGACAATAGTATAAAGTGTTACAGTTTTAGTGTAAATTTTATAATATACATCGCTTAAGTTGGAATTACTTAATGATCACCATTAGTGCTAATTAATATTGTGGTAATTACTTTGACTAATCAGTATATCTGTATAGCACCCAGATAATTCCCAGTCAGCTTATTAGATTCTTCCTTAACCCGGATGATCAAATATCAGAATTATTCAATGGATGTGACCCCTATACTCGGCGCCCAATTTCTGTCAAACTATTCGTTCTAATCTTGACCAATATTCGTATATCAGAATTATCGCTTATTTGGTACGTCTTTAATGAGAACTCAAAAAAAAACCCGAGCTTGTTTTAATGACAGCCACATAAACACACATTGTGTTGGCAAGTGAACATACTCGATGGTAAACCTATGGTATTCTGAAAGTACATCAAAATAAGATGAGTGTTAGTGTCAATCCACTAACTAGAGAGGATTTTCTATTAAGAAGATCAATGACAACATTTTATAACAGGGATTCAGATAGGAAAGACTTTGATAACATTGACAAAAGTCTGTTATGAAGCATTTGAAGTAATCAGAAATTTTGTGTCCAGGTAAACATACAAATTCTCTCTGTTGTGTTTTCATTTCTATCATGAAAGTGGTATACACCAACCTAGACTAAGTTTTTCTAACATTCCTATGTTAACATTGACATGAAGTAAATTAATAAGCATACTACTTCATGGATGTAAGGCAAGATCAGTCCTAACTGACATTGAAATATGACTTCGAGCAGACAACCATTGACTCGATAAGATGTACAGTATTATGTATGAACACAGTAAGTCAGTCAGCCGCAACGTAGGACCAGACACATATGCATCATTCCGAGTGTCCATACCGCATCAGCACAACAAGATGAACACCGGATTCATAGGAGTAGTTAATTCAGTGGTGGTAATATATAGAAGAAAGAGTGTGTATAAGGAGATAGTAAAGGAAGGTAGAATTAGTTCCTAGAAAGAAAGATTCGAAGTGATTTTAATCTCTTAGTTTAAAGGAAGACAGAGAGTGTATACATCTACGCCATTGTGATCGATTCTGAGCCATGTCACCAAGAGTCTCCAACCATTGGTTACGATAGTCACGCGGACCCCAACCAGGCAGTCTGAATCTCCCAACATGGCTCAGACCAGAAGTTAGTGACTTCAAGCACTGATGCCACGTTTTGGTTTGGCCGCCCCTAACTTTCTTCCAATTATCCCCTGCACTAGTCAGCATTGCGCGTCGTGGTAATCGGTGTTCAGGCATACGCAACACGTGGCCCAACCATCTCAGTCGATGAAGATTCATAACCTCATCAACTGATTTACCATCATTCCCTAATACCCTGCGTCTAACCTCACTATTACTTACCCGGTGATCCCAGCAGATACCCGCAATATTTCTAAGGCACCTGTGGTCAAATACTAGTAACTTACGAATATCTTCCACTCTTAAAGGCCAAGTTTCGCAGCCGTATAGTAGAACGGAACGAACTGCCGCGCAGTATACTCGTCCCTTAATTGATAGACGGATATCTCGCCTACGCCATAGATGACGTAAGTTGGCAAAGGCCAAACGAGCTTTTCGAATCCGTGCTGAGACTTCGTCAGACACCAACCCATTAGGGCTGATCAGACTTCCAAGATAAGTGAAGTTGTCAACGCGGTCGACTACTTCACTCCCTATCCTTGGTTCAGGTGGTGACGCAGTCCAGTCCTGAAGCAACAACTTGCATTTGGAGGGAGAGAAGCGCATCCCAAACATTCTGGCATTGTTGGTCAGTGCTACCAAAACACTCTGCATGAACACAGTGAACGAAATCTTGACGTTATCTGCTGTTTTACGAAACAAGTCAAATCTGAATCAATCGACTTGCTTGAAAACTCTAGTGACTTTTGCACAATTTATGCATAACATACAAGTTTTTCCCATTTTGATAACTATTCAGTAGTGTTAAATATAAAAAAAGAAATGGAAATGTGTACGTTTATATTTATAACCAAATGATGTGCTATAAAATTGCACTTGATTTCCGTTAATATGTACCAATCGTCATGAGATTCAAGAAATTATGCAACTATGAAAATATATTACTAATAGGCAATGAATATTAAAAAACTGGAACAATAGTACTGTGGTGTGTGCTACTTATGTAGACATAAGTAGCATATGATGTTTGTCGTGAACAGAATGTCTGACAGCAGAGTGACAAGAAGACCGAACAGTAAAGAATGAAGACAGCATGCAACTTGTGTGAAAATGCAAGAACAAAGGAAATCTGAGTCATTTGAGACAATTGATGAACATTTTGCAAATTGAGCATTTACTTATATGGTTGTTACATTTTACTGACTAGTTCTGTAATATGTTGTCAAGTACATTCGATTGTCCCCATTGATGTTCTTATTCACTACAGTACTACCTCCTCAAAACTGGTACATAATTATCCGAGATAAACAAAAAAAAATCCCCAAAAATGTATCTAATTGACTTACTTCAAAAATAGCCTTATGCATCACATCTGATATACACATTCTATCTGAGTCAGAAACATTTGAAAAGTCAGCTGAAAAAGGACAGAATGCATCAGTTATTCCTAATTTCTGCAGATGATCTTTCAGTTTTATTGCATCACCTTCTCTTAATTTAAATTTAGGCATATACAACTGCAATTTTGTATTTTGAAAACTCGTGGAAAGTATTGAAGAAATTCCACCATGTTTATACATCGAATTCAGTAAATCTGGCAATCCATCATTTTCATCTGGAAGAATAATCAATAACGTAAACCTGGATAACGAATTGTTTGAAAAAGAAGGGGTACTAAAGTAATATCAAGGAATAATTAGACAAAAACGGATACATTCAATAATGTCAGTATAAATACATGGTACATTTCTACTAGGACATCCATTTTCACTTACGATTTTCAAAAGAGATGAGATAGCTTTTTTCGCAAAGTGAACCAACTTTGGTTAAGCTAACACTATTTGGAGTTGTCTCCAATGGTCTATGTATTAAGTAATCCTTCACCGTATTGCAGAGTTGAATGTACCTCATTATACATTTTTAGTAATAAAATACTATCTATAATCTCTGCATAAAATGTGTACCTTTAACTCTGGTTTAAGAATTTCCGTTTCCATTGGGTTACACTTAGTCTAGACCTTACAGATCAAGAAATCGCTGAAATGTGTGTAAAATAATTCGTGGTTGAGAGTCTAAATGATCTCTAACTCTACCGATAGCGACGTTAAAACACTTTACTGGTTGGACAGATATGAATAAAATTGTCATGATTAGTGTTTCGAATGCTGACAAACATGTATAGCAGGATAATAACATACATTATAATAAGTAGAATGGTGGTTACAAGTGGTAAACAGTAAACCCTGGACCTAGGTTTCGTGCTTTTTGACAACTGTCAATAAGGTGTACCTGTATACTTGAAGGAAATAGTCACTAATCATTGGTCAATCAATTGTAAATGGATGATAATAAATTTAGTCTATTATTAACAGCTCTTCACAAAATGAAGAGACGATAAAAGCAGCAAACCTAGCAACCAGTAGATTACACGTTCAAACCTAACTAAGAAATTTCTGTAGCTCTCACATAAACAGCGTTGCTATGTGCCAAGTTCACAAATGTGTACTCAGTAAATAATCATCATAGAAACATACATACCATGATAAATCAATTTTAAGTGTTGAATAAATTGTTACATATAGTGGGGAACTCAAAATGCTACAATTATGAGTGATTTTTTATCGGTGTTTGTTATTCAGATTACTGCCCCAAAATGCCCTAGTACGGCCGAGAGTGATGTGGGCCCGTCCTCCCTCTTGAAATGCTCTCACATGGCCACGCGTATATAGCCTCTGCCAGGAAAGTCCTACTCACTGCCTTATCGTAGCATTTTTATTTTGTTTTATTTATTTTATTCGAACACATAAATATTGGTACAAGGGGGCACCAAATATATATGCGCCACACAAAACAATGATAATTTGAAGAGAAAGGAGAAAAAAAGGGAGAGAGAACAATAATGGGGAAAACGGAAAGGTACAATCAGAAGAAATCTTTCAATTAAGGAAGAGGCAACCACTTTTTATGAAGAAAGTAAAAAAAGGTTACAGCAGGATCGCCATTGGCTTCTATTCTGAGCCATATCTGATAACGTCTCTAGCCACTGTGTTACACCGTCTCTCGGACCCCAGCCAGGGAGTCGTGAAGGACCAACACAAGCCAGCCCTTTGCAGCTTTCTTTCATACCACGACACCATGTCATATACTGACCACCTCTCCGCTTTTTCCAACCAGTCCCGGAGTCGGCAAATAATGCACGACGAGGAATTCTCTGGGACGACATTCGGAGAACATGTCCAAGCCACCGAAGTCGGTGTTTCAAGATGGTGACACCAATGGAATTATCGTCTCTGTGCTCGAACACACGATGCCGAACTTCTGCATTACTAACATGGTGTTGCCACTGGATGCCAGCAATCCTTCGGAGACAAAGATGATCGAACACAGAGAGTAGTCTAACATCCTCAACTCGGAGAGGCCAGGTTTCACAAGCATAGAGCAGAACTGCTCTCACCGACGCGTTGTAGATCCGACCTTTTACAGCCAGACTAACATCATGAAGGCGCCAAAGATGGCCCAGATTGGCATAAGCCGCTCTGGCTTTCACTATACGTGCATTGATCTCATCACTCACGCAACCACCAGCACTTATGCAGCTACCAAGATACACGAACTTCTCGACTACTTCTATCTGCTCACCATCCAGAGTGAGTACAGGATTAGAATCCTGCCAGTCTTGTAGAAGTACTTTGCACTTCGAAGGAGCAAAGCACATACCATATCTACGGACACTGATTGCCAACTGATTAAATGCGGATTACATGGCTTAAACATTCTCGCACAGTAAGACAATATCATCCGCATACTCAAGGTCGAGAAGTCTTTCTCCAGGCAACAGATCCACACCACCATTACTTACATCCATCAGAGCTGTTTCCAGAATGTCATCGATGGCAAAATTGAAGAGGAATGGTGAGATTGGGAAACCCTGTATAATCCCACTGCTTGAATGGAACAATGGAGAAAAGTGGTTGTATGCCCTCACTCTGCCTGAGGTGTTTGTGTATAATGCTTTCAGGATGTTAATAAACTTCTCAAGCACACCCTTCTTCAATAGACAATTCCAGAGAACAGTTCTGTCCAACGAATCGAACGCAGCCTTGATGTCAAGAAACACTACGATTGTTGGCCTTTGATAAGTATGGCGGTGTTCTAACATCTGGCGGAGGGTGAAGATATGATCAATACATCCTCGACCAGAACGAAAACCAGCCTGCTCCTCGCGAGTCAATCCTTCTCGGGTTTTGAACAACCTACGAAGTATGACGGAAGCCAATAGCTTGGACGCAATCGGAAGTAGACTTATCCCCCGATGGTTGTTATGGGACGACGTGAACCCTTTTTAAAGATAGGGACAACTATCGACTCATTCCATGACGTCGGTACGCTCTCTAGTTCCCTGACCTTTGTAAACAACGTCGTCAGTCCCTTAGTCAGAAAGTCACCACCATCTTTAAAAAGAGCCGGAGGTAAGTTATCTGGGCCCGGTGATTTGTAACGTTTCAAGAGTTGGAGTACCTTGCGGACTTTCGCCTCATTTGGTGGATCAGCCGTCACCGGCCACGGAGGGCAGGACAGTCTGACCGATGTTGCCGGAGCAGCAAGCCAGTTGAACTGCCCTTCAAAGAATTCTGCCCATCGTCCAAGACGTCGATGGATGTTAGTGATTGGCGTTCCATCATCCTCGCAGATTGTTTCGCTCACACCAGACTTCTTGCTGCCAGTGGCTCAGATGAGTTGGAAGAGCTTCCGGTAATTACCAGATGCAGCTGCTGCTTCCAGCCCGTTAGCACGCTCCGACCACCAGGTTTCTCGGTCCTTACGCAAGCTTTGCCCGATTTCATTACGTAACATCCTTCATCTGTGGTCAAACTCACGGTCACCCGGAGTAGACCGACGGGCTTCAATCAGTTGTAAGGAACCAGAAGAAACCCAGTGCTTGTAAGCGGGACATTTCGCGAACCCACAACAGACTGTACCCGCCATTTTCATGGCGTCATGCAATTGCAACCAATGCTCATCTATACTTTTCGGTGGAATGGTAGCTAGCCTAGAAGCTAGCTCGGTTCGGTACTTACTAGCAACAGAAGCTGCAGTCAGCTTGCTAACATCAATCCTTTGGTGGCGGTCACTTCGTTGTCCACTGAAAAGTAAGGTAAGATTGGCGCAGACCAGAGCATGATCAGATCCCAGATAGGTACTCCAAAAGGAGCGGCAGTCTTGTGCACAACCACGCCAGCGGTAGCTGATCGCGATGTGATCAATCTGAGTCCAGGCTTGAGATGCAGAAGGAGGACGCCAGGTGGCACATCGGCGATGACTGTGCCGAAAGTTAGTGCTAGCCAGAAACAGGTTGTGGTCTGTGCATAGTTGCAGTAGAAGTTCCCCGTTATCTGTCCTGCGACCAACGAGTCCCCATCGGCCACCTAGACGACTCTCTTCTGTGCCTAGACGCCCGAGCTGAGCATTCAAGTCTCCGGCTAGTACTACAATATCTGTCGAACGCACTTTCTGGAGAAGAACAGTTAACTGGTGGTAGAACTCATCCTTGATTGCATCCGGGCTGCAATCTGTCGAGGCATAGGTGGAGATGACGAAAAGACATCGTTTCTCACGCCGATTTCTTCTCACTTTGATGGAACTTTCTAATCTAACAGCACATAACCGACTATTAATGGGGATCCAGTCGATTAGTGCTGCCTCAGCTCTAGCGCTTAGTGCGACACCAACGCCAGCAAGACCAGACGAAGATGCCACAGGGTCCCCGGATAAACGCACGTAAAACAAACATTTTGAAGCGACAGATGGAGAGCGAACTTGTAGTACTTCACCAGAGTCACCAGCTACCATGGGACCGCATCTCCTCACGATGCTCCACTGCCTTGTGGATCAGATCTTCAGGTCAAAGGCTCGGGGTGTGGCCCCCTAAGAAAACCACCTGCTTCGGTTTGGGCACCCGGGAAGGATCACAGCCCTCACACATATCAAGTGAGATTTGTGTGGTGTATGTATATTTGGTGCCTCCTTGTACCAATATCTATGTGTTAAAATAAAATAATAATTCAGATTACTACTGAAAATTATTACATTAGTTTCCTAAAAGGTACATCATAAAGTAGTAAAATGCAAAACACTCGTTTAAATATTAATGCTCACTTTGGGTTTTTAAATGGTATCTTGACAGCATGTGACTTTAAGTGGGGCAAACTGATCATATTGAAATACGATTCGTTGTACATCAACTTCACACTCATTTTTGGTCCGTTTAATGCGTAAAACTCGCTAGTATGCGAGTTATCCTCAGGAAAAGACACATTCCACAAACCTAAATAACAACACCGGTTAAGGTTTTTCAATTGACATGAGGTAGATAAACATAAATTGTATGCAGTTAAAATCAAATTTATAATTATTGAGAATTAGATTTATATATTCTTTTACCTTTGAAGTATGTAGTAGCTGTCACTACTGCAGACGTGTCGTTTGTTAAAGAACCGGGTGAAAGGAGTTCTTGAATTTGTCCTTTAGTTTGTTCACTAACCCACTGGTTTATCCGGTTTCGAGAACCTTCTATGTCAGTTTCAAATGCCACCTTCGCGCAAAAAATGTTAACGAATAGCAAGAACCTACATGTTCTGTTGGAGCATCGTAATATGTCTTTAGATTGGTTTTGAACTGCTCCTTGATTCTTACATTTTGTGCAACGAACAATCTATTAGCAAGGATTATGTCAACACCTTCACTAGGTTCCGAACAATCATTTAGAAGTTGAGCGATCTCGCAATGAACTTGATCATGTTCTGAACAGTCAGACAACTGCATCGCCTTTATCATCTCGGCTTTCGTATTGTTTTTACTGCCAGAAAGAACCATTCCAAGGGCAGTATAGATATTGAACGGGGAGAGAAAAACATTTTCCCATTGACCTAAACACATTCGTAGGAGTATTGTAGTAGAATGAACTCACCATGAGTTTCATTTAATATTTGTTCGTAAAACCTGTCGGTGAAGTTCGTAAGTGATTTTAATGCCCCCATCTTGTAGGAAGTAGAAGTACATCAGAACAATGACTAGAGTAAAATATTCGCAGTGCAAAACACCAAAGAAACAAAGCAACAATCGCCTATTAAGAACATCAACCTGAGAATGAGGTTGATTAAAACTCTACTACTACAACTACCTTCTTACGAGCCTTACAAGCCAGTCAGTACAATATTAAATTTCATATGGACATTCTTTAGCGAACCGACTATCATTAAAAGTAAACACTGTAAAGGAAGTTGCGTAACATATTGGTAATGATGATCCGCACCACTTTAAAATCAATGGAATGCCTATATCCAAGACTATAAATTATCAATTTTGACCTCAATACAAAAGACAACTGTGAAACATAAACTCAAGGTTTCCACCTATGTTAGTTACAATGTAAACCTATTCATGACCCAATTAAAAGCACATTCTACTCATGATAACCAATTTATATCATAATAAACCTTTAGAAATAAAGCCAGATTATATGCTAAAAATGAAACGAATACGTTGGGACGAGTTCAAAAGATAGATATTGAGAAAGTAAAATCGCCTTGCGACCTTACCAATAGGGAATATATATCCTAATGGTCCACGTTTTATCGAAGTTTCGGTGGTAACCGTATATCACCTTACCGTATACTTAAAAATCATTGCATTACCATGTTTCGTTAAATAAAGGCCACCTACTTTACTTCTATAAACATATGAATATGATACAAGCACTGAAGGCTAAATTAGAATGGCCAGTTGAACATTTGTTTAATTTAACCCTAAGGCTAATATATTTGCTTTACAGGGATTTATGATACCTTTGAGGGTGACAAGAAACCCATGTCCCACTTGACGTTTTGGTTATCTTATCAATGACAGTGTCTGATTCAATTCTGCCAGGCAGTTGACCAATTGGAAAACTACAATTTTCGTATGTAATCATACCAAAACGCCGAAGCAGTAAAGTTAGAAAAACTTCAAAATAAGACCATAGCAAACCTTTGGCATTATTAATGTGGTTCATTTTTATGAAATGTCAAACAAATGACTTACTGGGGGGAAATTCAAGCAAGAATGCTAACAGCGGAAGAGGTTGTGTAAAACAAACAAAACCAAGACTCCGCAACTACGGCGCACATGGGCTCCAGCATCCTCAAGGACTAAATGGCATGTGAGTCAATTATTGGTCACCGACTACCATGGGACTGCATCTCCTGACGTTGCTCCACTACCTTGTGGATCAGACCTTTATGTCGAAGGCTTTAGGCGTGGCCCTCTAGGAAAACTACCTGCTTTGGTTTGGGCACCTGGGTAGTATCAAAGCCCACACGCAAATCAAGTGACCTGTGTGGCACATATTCATTCAGTGCCCCTTTGTACCATTATTTATGTGTAAATAAATAAATAAATAAGAACCATCCCATAAGGTCCTAACCAGTTGCTTACGACCTGTAATATTTAAAATCAAAAGCAATGTGCATTTGACATAGTTACAAGAGTAAGAATGCATATGTATCATCATGATGGAGTAGAGTGAAGGCATACCATTAGTGGTAAATAAATATATGTGAGGAAAGACTCTGGGCCATCAGATACAGTAATAAGAGACCAATCAACATCGAGATCTACAGCACAAGCTATGAACCATATGCAGAGAAATTAGAACATTTCATTTCTACCTGAAGTTCGTGTTGATGTTCTCGTTCAGAAGAACGATGAAGGCTCCACAAGCAAACCATCCAGCTCAGATAACAAAACTCCACCAAAATCATCTAACTGAGCTAAAAATCTTCACTATCTCAAAACAATTGGTGGTTTATATTATGAAGTAGTTTTAACACAAATTATTAACAATTTTTCGTTCGCGCTGCAAAGAATTGTTTGGCTGACAAAACCCTGTGTTCAATCTGGTCGAAGTGATGAATCATCATTACGGGTAAAATGAGGATATAAGTTTTTTATGGATACGGATTTCCTTATTGGATTGCTAATTTCGGGACTGGCGAGACTCGAATTTATGGAAGACCTTTGAACGAATTTTAGGTGACCTTGAGAATAATAGCTAATCAGAAGACAGTTAGTACAAAGTAAAAATATATTAGAAGAAACTAAAGAATTACAGTGGATATACTTCTTTTATATGATTTAAAAACTTGTTAAGATTTGATAAAGGTTCAGATGTTTTGAAATCATATTGCATACGGTATAAGAACTCATCCATATGGCTCCATAATAGTCAACCTCTGGAGCCGTGATATGGTCTTAAAAACTCCTTCAATCGTGACCACATCGCTTCAATGTTATTAGTACGAAACCCGGTTGTAGGGTCAACGAAATGACGTTTGTGGACTACAACGTGATGGACATATCCAAGCCTATGAAGACATCTATATGCTCTCCAGTCATCCGTATATATCGTAGTACCCGGCAGCACGTATTCCTGTATTATTGATATTATTGTGGTTGCTCGCCGGTTTGTGACCTTCTGAAAATGTCCCTTTCGAGTTGATCTATCATAAATCCCAAATACTTGTCAAGTATATTTACGAAAATGCTACTTACCTAATCTTCCTTTATACTACGTCCCTTGTTGTATTTTCTCTTTCTCACTACCGTTTCGTGTATCTCCACGATGCATCCTACTCCTCCAAATGATTGGTGTATACTTGTCATTTTAGCTGCGCATATGTCACGACTGTACTCATACCACTGGACTGCTGAGGTTTCAGTAACATCTGCAAATGCCGCAGCCAGTGTTACTGGTGTCTTTATTACCCAATCCGCAACTATTATCATGATCTGTCTCAATTTCAGTCGCGATCGAGCAAAGAAAGTCCCCGTTCTAGCAGACTTTTTCATCCAACATGAAGGACAACGGAATATAATCTCAATAATAACCTCTTCTCGGCAACTCTAATTTAAGGACGAGCCAATCAGAAGCGTTTGAGCCATTTCAAGGTCACGGAGCCGAGTTTAACGCATGATGCTAACATACGATCGGTTTACAGCGGACTTTAGAGAAGAGGTTATTATTGAGAAGCTACAAGAGATGGGACTACTAAGAAGTTCTTGTACGTGTGACTGCGGTTATCAAATGACTGCAATAAAGTGTGTAGACCACCGCGGTGAGATTATATTCCGTTGTCCTTCATGTTGGATGAAAAAGTCTGCTAGAACGGGGACTTTCTTTGCTCGATCGCGACTGAAATTGAGACAGATCATGATAATAGTTGCGGATTGGGTAATAAAGACACCAGTAACACTGGCTGCGGCATTTGCAGATGTTACTGAAACCTCAGCAGTCCAGTGGTATGAGTACAGTCGTGACATATGCGCAGCTAAAATGACAAGTATACACCAATCATTTGGAGGAGTAGGATGCATCGTGGAGATACACGAAACGGTAGTGAGAAAGAGAAAATACAACAAGGGACGTAGTATAAAGGAAGATTAGGTAAGTAGCATTTTCGTAAATATACTTGACAAGTATTTGGGATTTATGATAGATCAACTCGAAAGGGACATTTTCAGGTCACAAACCGGCGAGCAACCACAATAATATCAATAATACAGGAATACGTGCTGCCGGGTACTACGATATATACGGATGACTGGAGAGCATATAGATGTCTTCATAGGCTTGGATATGTCCATCACGTTGTAGTCCACAAACGTCATTTCGTTGACCCTACAACCGGGTTTCGTACTAATAACATTGAAGCGATGTGGTCACGATTGAAGGAGTTTTTAAGACCATATCACGGCTCCAGAGGTTGACTATTATGGAGCCATATGGATGAGTTCTTATACCGTATGCAATATGATTTCAAAACATCTGAACCTTTATCAAATCTTAACAAGTTTTTAAATCATATAAAAGAAGTATATCCACTGTAATTCTTTAGTTTCTTCTAATATATTTTTACTTTGTACTAACTGTCTTCTGATTAGCTATTATTCTCAAGGTCACCTAAAATTCGTTCAAAGGTCTCCCATAAATTAGATTCTTGCCGAATCCAGTAGCTGCAGCAATGAAAGGCTTCTGGATGATAATGGTGTGAGTAACAAGTTTAATAAATTTCTTTAAAAATCTTATACTTTTAACATCAATTGCAGTTGTCGTGTAGCTTTTATGGAAATACAGGCGAACATGAGAGACATTTGGGGATAGGCAAAAAATGTGTTTAAAATTTAATCGAAAATAGATAATCCGGAACGTATTTAAGCGAAAAGTAGACAGTTCAGCAACATTTAAAACACAAAGGAATGTGAAAGGTAAAATGAGCATTCCTTCTTCCTGGCAGGTTACAAAGCAGACATTAAGGCGCCTTTCCTCATTATTTCCAATTTAATGATTGCTTGGAGAGTGGTCTACAGACTATGTGGTTCCATTAGTGTTAAAAGTGTAACCATGATAAAAATTCGGGAAAGAAAACGCTCGAGACTAGAAAAACAACGACTGGAAGTACTAACATGAGCATAAAATATAGTTAGAGAACTAAAATATTCAGTCTTCTTCAAGTTTACATTAATTCTGGAAGTATTTTGTGTGCTAGTGTAGTGTGAGGAGAAGAGAATCGGCAACAATTATAAATAACTAAAACCTGAGGACAGGACAACCTGACAATCGAGACAACAAGTTCCAAATGAGTTGCGTTAATTTTTAAAATATTGTTAACAGCGAGTACCATCCAATGCCCAATACTTCGACCCTGGAAAACTAATGACTGAAATGAATAGGTGTGCAGCCTTATGATACTGACAGCTGTGGTCAATCATTTTTCTAAATACAGTTTCAGATCTCCTAAGCATTAACCCATAAAATTTCTCTGGTATGTTCCGCTCATGTGATTCAACGAATAGATAGTTTATATTCCTTTTGTTAAATGTATCTTCGTCTCACAGTATCCAATAGTTCTAGTTTCGTCAGGCCTAGGATTGTTTTGAGAGATAATTCACACAGAAGTGTTGTCAAACACTGAGCATCTATAATGTATTACTGACGACCTAACGTGAGCAAAATGGTTTGATTGTATCTACGGTTCAAAGTTACAGTTTGCAGAAAATGAATGTACCTTATCTGTCCGATGGAAATATCCCTAGTGAACTGGTGTATTTTGAGTTCGATCAAACGGTTGAGTTCCTGATCAGAAGTGTAACCATACCCTGCAGATTTCGCGTTTCTGGTTAAATGACTGGTCAGCCGTGGCTTAAAAAGTAAAATGTAGGTGAATGAATAAGTAAACAGGAAAGACAATGCTCGATAAGATTTGTAAACCAACAAACAAATCGACAGATTTAAATGTGAATAATAGCAGACTGGCTTTGGTGACAAAGAGAAGTCATTGTAGCGTATTTAAAAGATAGACGTAATGGCATTAGATGAAAACAAAAATCTTCATGTATTATTCACGTGACATTCATTAGAATACACATTTAACATCTAAAGGCCTCCGCTTGTTATATTTATTCATCATTTCAGGGGTAAAGTGAGAAATTGTGAGTGGCTTCAGAAACTAGGAGTCGTTGTTGAGTTAGTTACTGAATGGTGAGCATTTACGTCAGCTATAACCGTATGAACACTAAAAATCCCCGTCCAGAATGTTGTTAAACAGCATTGTCATTAAAATACAATTATATGAACCAGGAATATTCTTTTAAACAATTCTTCATTAAGTTCTACATCTATACATCGAAATTATTAATCCATGAAAGTGGCCAGGTTTAAGGCAGAGTACATCATTTAAAATTATGACATGTAAATTAAAGATTCTTCGTCATATAAAATCAAATCAAATTGTTAATGTTGGAATAACTAATATAAATTGTCAACTTGAGTCAATTTATAAGTGAATATATTTCTTTTGGATGAAAAGCTCTGGCTTTTTGATCCCAGTAGGAACTGTTGCAGCCGTTTGCAATATTCCCAGTCTGAAGGGACTAGGTAGACTGCTGATAAGATCATATATTATTGTGAAAGATTTCTCCATGTAAACTGTTTGAATTAAACGGGACAAAATGGGGCAGTAAACAGTTCTAGCTCCACTTTTGCTCAACCACATTGGGAGGTGCTCACAAGCCCAAATATACTAATTACTAGAACATCTGAAAATATAACTTGCTCCACAAAAGCAGGTGAATTGATAAATACGAAAGGAAATGGCTAGTCTATAAACTTTATTTTTCAACCCAGGAGTAATCCATGGATATGTGTGAAACAATAATTGTAGTTTACCTGTACTAAAAGTTCTTTGGATCACAGCTTTAGTCTTAGCACAGCCTTGAATGCATTGCTTCTGAATTGTAAGCGTATATATAGAAGCTTTTTATTCACAGTCAGGCATTCCTTATGGTCTATAATATTGGTTACGTGTTTATTTATAATTTTTTCCTGATATCCGCTTCCCTCGAGAATCATGTACAATGCACTTTTTTCGTGTGCAACCACAACTAGATAGCATAAGATCTTGATTCTATGGTGAAGTGTCATAATTGTATTGTATTGTTGAGGAACAAAACCAAGAAAGCTTGTATATTGGCCCGTCAAAGTGTGGGACATTTGTGAACAATGATGTTTCGTCAAAGGGCATCATCGTTTGACCTTAAGTGTTTTTTTTTGTTTTTGATCCTGTCGACAAAATGGAATACTATGTTTCACCAGATATTTGTAGAATGGTTTAAGATGGCTACTAACCGTTTTTTCACACTATGATAAAAGGTGTAGTTCACCAGGGTGGATGATCTATGTCGAAATGATTGGAGGCTTACTCGAGTTAGACGTGACTGGTGTGACAAACTAGCTAACGTCGAAGTCACACTTCGCGGTCTGCCCCTTACATAGATAACCCATTGACGTATCAAGGTACTATAGATGCTTTGAAGACTGTACAACACAGAGGACGTTATTACAGAAATATATTAGTTAAAGTAGGTACAAGCGAAGGTAAGACCACTGCCGCATGGGCCAGTCCATGGCGTACGATTAACTGATGCGCGTTGGTTGTCCTTGACCTCGACGAGGATTGATGATTTGTTCGATATTCAATGACCAAACTGCCGGATGATTTGGCTGAGGTTCAGCAGAATTTCGCTGGCCCTACAAAGGAATTGTATATGCCCAAAATTTGTCTCAATGAGATATCCGCTTTGTAAATATTCGGCTGTCCATATAACCTTGATAAAAGGACATCTATCGGCTTAATTGTTTCGTACATCATTGGTGGAATTACCTGTTGATCCATTAGCTGTTTTAAAGATTTGGTAAGTTCACTCACCATCTCATAATTATTATTTCCTTTCACTTTTTGTATTTTAACAATTACTCAAGTCTCTCGTATCCACGATTTATGTACTTCAGTCTTCTTTGAAAAGATTATATTGTTATAATTTGGTTAAATACATAACTTGATTACTCAAGTTTACCGTTGGCTTTTTCCGAGCGATCGAAAACCAGCTCATGATGGATCGATCAGTTCTTGTCTGTGCATATATATGAACATCACTTTCATTGAAAGAATCACACTTGATACTAGGGTGTTCATTTTTGTTCAGTTGATTCTTTATAACATTTTCGGTACTGGTTTTATAACCAGACTACTCTGTACACAATTTCATCAAATATGATTTCAGCATCTTAATGATGATGGTGTTTCAAAAAGCTCGTTAGAACTAAATGTTTGAGTATGTTCTTCTACTGTTCTATCAGGAGATATAAAATCAGGCGTCAGATCTATATCTACACATGGTATACATTGGTAGTCTGAACTTTCAACGAGCTCATGCGAATTTTGTGGCGAATTAGAATCCTTCATTGATTAACTAAAGTTTTAGGTGACAGACCATAGTGTTAGTCGCACGGGTGGGTCCGTAGTAAGCGAGAGCATAAGTCGGTGCAATCAAATGTAATTGAATACAAAATTACGGAATATCTTGGTATAATGTGAGAACCACACAATAAATACTTCATTTGCAAACTGTCAATCAATCGTCTCGGACTTCATTGTTCTTTCGTTTTCACACAAATCATTCTCTGTTCTTGTTCTCTTCTCTGATCTTAAATTTCTGCCGCCAGGCAATCCACTTTCAATTCATGATGCAGATTCGGATTCAGATTTGTGTAGGAAGGACAGAAAGCCTAAGGTCTATGTTATTTCTTTTCTAGTATGCTTCTCTGAGTGTCTAGTCTTCTCTTGAATGAGTCAATTGAAGGTGCGGACACCACTGCTTCGGGTAACAGGTTCCAAGTATGGATGATTTGGTGTGAAAACCTGTGTTTCACGAATATTTCGTTCGTTTTTGGCTTTTCCCTTCACCTGCTATGTCCTCTAAGATGTCCCGATCTGGTGTGAAGAAAAAGAGAGGTTATGCTAGGTCCAAAATCATTTCCCAGTATTCTGTACATCAAAGTTAGATCTCCCCTTAGTCTACGATAGGACAATGTGAAGAGGTCCAGCTTTTCAAGCCGTTGTATATACTGTGGTAAACGTGGTAGTATCCAACCTAGTGAATGTCCGTTTTAATGCTCAGAAAATTCTATACCCCTTAGCTATGACCTTTCGGCAATCGGTCGTCGTCTTAAGATCATGACTCACTGTCACCACAATATCTCTATGGAACCGGATCACGGGTAGTGGTGCTTCCCCTATTCTGTACTTAAAACCTTTATATCCTCCAAGTGCATGCCGAAACATTTTGCTGCGTTGATAGGCATCAGTCATATTGTGAAACCACTTACGGCGGCTATCACATTGCATCCCCTCATTGACCGGGAAACAGCATTCTGGTCTACCACAACGATGTTTCGATTGCGCTATAGATTTGTTTTACGCTTATATACAAATAAAAACATTAAAAAATTTTCCTATCGCAGACTAAGGGGAGATCTAACTTTGATGTACAGAATACTGGGAAATGATTTTGGACCTAACATAACCTCTCTTTTTCTTCACACCAGATCGGGACATCTTAGAGGACATAGCAGGTGAAGGGAAAAGCCAAAAACGAACGAAATATTCGTGAAACACAGGTTTTCACACCAAATCATCCATACTTGGAACCTGTTACCCGAAGCAGTGGTGTCCGCACCTTCAATTGACTCATTCAAGAGAAGACTAGACACTCAGAGAAGCATACTAGAAAAGAAATAACATAGACCTTAGGCTTTCTGTCCTTCCTACACAAATCTGAATCCGAATCTGCATCATGAATTGAAAGTGGATTGCCTGGCGGCAGAAATTTAAGATCAGAGAAGAGAACAAGAACAGAGAATGATTTGTGTGAAAACGAAAGAACAATGAAGTCCGAGACGATTGATTGACAGTTTGCAAATGAAGTATTTATTGTGTGGTTCTCACATTATACCAAGATATTCCGTAATTTTGTATTCAATTACATTTGATTGCACCGACTTATGCTCTCGCTTACTACGGACCCACCCGTGCGACTAACACTATGGTCTGTCACCTAAAACTTTAGTTAATCAATGAAGGATTCTAATTCGCCACAAAATTCGCATGAGCTCGTTGAAAGTTCAGACTACCAATGTATACCATGTGTAGATATAGATCTGACGCCTGATTTTATATCTCCTGATAGAACAGTAGAAGAACATACTCAAACATTTAGTTCTAACGAGCTTTTTGAAACACCATCATCATTAAGATGCTGAAATCATATTTGATGAAAT